AAAAAAAAAAAAAGCAAGCACATCGATAGGTCTACCGACCTTGATCCCAAAATCTCCCTGAATCCATAAATATGATCTTCTTGTAGTTTTGCTTAATTATTCGTTATTCTTGCATGTATTATCTAAATTCTGGAAGTAGAATCTTCTGTGAAGGAGATTCATGCGTTGAGGTATACAGTTGCAACTTATCAAACGTTTGAAATCCAAACACATAAAATTTAACTGTTGGAATGTTGTCATCTCATTTGAACTTGCCTTTGCCTTTATTCGATTAAAATTCTGTTTCTTTTCCAGGAATAGTAATTGAAATGTACTCTCAATTTACAATGCTACCTGTCCGTCGGAATCGGTATTCCTTTATTGTTTACCCAGCTCTTGATTTACTGAAATTTCACAAAATGTTTATTCTATCTGAGTTATAGGGATATGCACTTCTGTGTGTGGGCTTCCCGTCATCTGACCTTGAGGTTGAAACACAGGACGAGGATGAGGTACAATTCAATATAATAAAATCTATATCAGTATATCTTCCCCTTTCAGATGCATATGAACTTAATTATGTTTGTATGTGATCATCAAGCTTACTTTCCGCTTGTCATGACAAAAAACGAGATTATGCATGGCCGTGAGTGTCTAGTTTTTTGTTGTTTGTATGAATATAAGCTTCTGTTTTCAGACTTCTGTTTTTGTACCCAATTTCCATTGATCCTATATGTATGTTGTCTAAACCAAGAGCAATTCTTTCCTACTAAAGGGTTCTTTCGAAGATTTTGTCACGTTTTAGTACACAAAAGTCTAGCTGAAAGGACTCGAAATTAAATTGTTATGCAGGTGTACTGGCTGCAATTCGGAAGATATTTTGCTCGAGGGCCAATTGTAAGTTTTTATTCTTAATATGATTACTTAGGTTTGCCTTTTAGAACTGATACCAAAAGTTCTCCATCAATTTCTTTTCCTGTTTCCCATTTCAGGAAAGAGATGACTATGCATTGGAATTGGCTATGGGAGATGAGTAAAGTGTAAAGCCATCTTCTCTACAGTGACTATAATGAGGAATTGTCCAGTTACACTTGTAGTTGTAGAATAGTTTATGCGTCTTGTTCTGTTACTTGTGCGCCGATTGCCATTCGCTATGATTCTACACGGACTACACCAACATAATTTTCTTGACTTGCAAACATCTTCAACTTGCAAAAATGATGATAGACTTTTGATTGGAAATAAATTTAAAGAAAATGTGTTATGCTTTGGAAGGACAAGTGCAGATCTTCCTATATATAAATAAAAAGTATTTTGAGTATAAGTCACTGTTTTTCAACTCGGACCAGCCCGACGGGTTGACCCGGGACCCGGCCGACCTGGAGTCGGAACAGGTCCGGGTAGGCTATTTGAACCGGGTAACAATGAACCCGGCCAAACCCGGTCGACCCGGACAATTGACCCGGCCGAGTCAACCGGTCATTATGGGGATGCTTGGATATAAAAAATTTTGGATTTGTTTGGATTTTTTTGGTTTGGTTTGGTTAATTTTGAAAAAGGTATGGTTAGTTGTTAGTGGGTATATTAAAATAATATTTAAAATAAAATAATTAAAGTTGATTTGATGTAAAAAGTAAGAGAGAGAAGTTGAAGTGGTGATTAGTAGACTTGTCAAAACGGGCTGGCGGGGCGGGGCGGGCCGGCCCGCCATCTTGACGGGCCTTCGAAATGCCAACCCGGCCCACCCCCGCCACGGGCCGCGGGCTAGGCGGGCTGGCCCGTCAAAAAAAAAAAAGCAGTTTAACCCAAAAAAAAAGCAACAAGAAGTCATTGTCCATGTCGCCTTCTCCCAACAATTTCACCATAAATCTGATTATCTGAAGCTCCTCACCCGCCTCTCCCCCGATTCCGACAAGTCTTCGCCCGTCGAGAACCACTCCAGATTCAAATTCGCAAACCAGAGATCCGCGACAAGACAATTCCGATTTTCAAAAATTGGTTTAAAATGGAGACAAATAAAGATACCCTATGATATAGCCACACTGGCTCATAACGGTTCATATCATCACGGTTCGAAACTATCAAGTCGACTTCAACTTAGTCGACTCCGCCAGTAAAGTTCCACGATACACAG